ATTACAAGAACCTGACGGGTTTGAACCGCGGCCATTTGAACCCCAGCGGACACCACTCTGACTCCAGCAGCAGGACGGCAACCTTCAGCCTCACCAACATCGTGCCCCAGGATGAGAAACTCAACGGTGGTGCCTGGAACAACTACGAGCAGCAAACCATGATGAGGAGGACAGTGGGCTGTAACACAACCTATGTTGTGGTGGGTGCTGTGCCTGGGAACAACTATATTGCCAAGGGCAGAGTGAATAAGCCCAGCCACATCTGGTCAAGCGCTTGCTGTGAGGTGGACAAAAACCACAGGGAGGCTTGGGGGGTCATTGCTGAGAACGACAAGAATGAGGTACAGCTCCTCAAGCTGGGGGAGCTGGAGGAGGTGTTGACACACCTTTACGGGAGGGGTGAGGTTTATCTGTTTGATAGTGACTGTCCCAGGGAATAAGCCCTGTTTTACATTCTAGATATCCTATCATACCCACCAGCATTTGTTCTACTTCCTTCTCTAGGAGTTTTCCAGTTGCAGTCAGAGCCTCTTCTTTGAAAATAAAAGGAAGAGGCCAGCTGGGCCTCTGGCTCGTTTGCTTTCCTACTCTGCTGCCCACTCTTGCAATGATGGTTCTGGGATGAGTCCCTGAAAGCTCTGGAGGGACAGTCTGAATACCAGTCCATGAGTAAGGAATCAGTTTGTCCTTAAGACTAGAGACATACTGCTTTTTGTTCCTCCCTATTTCTCCATGCCCACATACAGACTGTGGTTCCTTACCCTCTTTCATTCAACATCGCTGTTAACATGCTGTTGATTTATCCATTGCCTCCTCAGGAAAGTTCCCAGGCAAGGTTGGCTCAGATAATCCATGGATTATCCAGATTCCTCCTTGGAGGTACTCAAAATCCATCTGGACATTGTAATGGATAACCTGCTCTGGCTGACCTGCCTGACACAGCCAAGGGCAAAAGCAAAGAGCAGACAGAGAGAGGAAAGTGGAAAGGAGGAAGGCTAGTAAGCATGGAAGGAACATCACAGCTCTGTTGAGCTCTGTAAATAAATAAAATAAGAAGGAAGGAGATAACCTGCATCTAATCTCTAAGCTCCCTAATCCTGAGTTTACATGAAGGCCATGCTTATGTAAATTTACTAGCACATTTTTGTTTGCTTGGTTTTGGATCATGTACCTTGAGAGCAAGAGCTGAGGTATCAGGCAGCTGGGCTCAGGGATCAGATATACAGCAGACTTCAACCAGCCAAAGATAAATTTCTGTGATGCACTAGTGGGATAACTTCATTCTCTGCCCTACTTCTGAACCTTTTCTGCAGATTTATATATGATTGATTTTTTTTTCCATTGTAAAATGTATTCAGTGGGTATAAAAGTTCAATATATGCTATATAATTTTGTTCCTGAGTCGTTTATGATATAAATTATTTGCTCCAATGTCAAATCCTAGAATCACTTTCCATTGAAATTTCCACTTCTAGTAATGCCTTAGTTTGTAAGGCTTCTTTGCCAGAGGTAGGCTGTCCAAATCCAATCTGAAAAAACCATGACACATATCATGACACTATCACTACTTCACGGAATCACAGAATGGCCAGGGTTGGAAGGGACCTCAGGGATCATGAAGCTCCAACCCCCCCACCACAGGTAGGGCCATCAACCTCCACATTTCATAGCAGCCCAGGCTGCCCAGGGCCCCATCCAACCTGGCCTTGAACACCTCCAGGGATGGACGGGGCATCCACAGCCTCTCTGGGCAGCCTGTTCCAGCACCTCACTGCTCTCCCTGTAAAGAATTTCCCCCTGACATCCAACCTAAATCTTCCCTCCCTCAACTTAAAACCATTTCCCCTTGTCCTGCTGTTATCCACCCTTTCAAAGAGTTGATTCCCCTCCTGTTTGTAGGCTCCCTTTAGGTACTGAAAGGCTGCAATGAGGTCACCCCGCAGCCTTCTTTTCTCCAGGCTGAACAAGCCCAGCTCCCTCAGCCTGTCTTCGTAAGGGAGATGCTCCAGTCCCCTGATCATCTTCGTGGCTCTCCTCTGGACCCCTCCAGCAGCTCTCTGTCCTTCTTGTACTGGGGACTCCAGACCTGAACACAGTACTCCAGATGGGGCCTCACAAGAGCAGAGTACAGAGGGACAATCACCTCCCTGTCCCTGCTGGCCACCCCTCTTCTGATGGAGCCCAGGATACCATTTGCTTTCCAAGCTGCAAGAGCACATTGCTGGCTCATGTTCAGTTTTTCCTCCATCAAGACCCCCAGGTCCTTCTCTGCAGGGCTGCTCTCAAGGGCTGCTCCTTCCAGTCTGTATGGATGCCTGGGATTCCTCTGACCCAAGTGCAATGCTATGTTGAACCTCATTATGTTCACCCAGGCCCACCTTTCAAGCCTGTTGAGGTCCCTCTGAATGGCATCCCTTCCTTCCACCGTGTCAACTGCACCACTCAGCTTGGTTACTTCTATAAACTTTACTAAGAAGATCATGGTGCAAACTGCACATACAATCTGTCTCACCTACTAAGATAGCAGCTTGACCCTGAATTTCTCAGCTCCTGAGCAGCTCAGCTCCAGTGCTATTGGACTGTTGTGACTTCAGAGCTGTCCCTCCCTGTGTCCATAGTCTTCTGGCATCTCTGCCACATGCTCCATTGCTCACTGCAGAAGTGTTCCATTAGCTGTGTCACCTTCCCTCTCACATGGTTCATTAACCTACCAGACCTCATCACTCACCCAGGACACACTTCTTTGAAGGCTGTACATAAGCAATGGGGGCAGGACCTCGAGGCCATCTCCAGTGGCACCTGGGCACCTGAGCACAGGCAGCCAGGTTCCACCCAAGTGGCATCATGGACATCTGCTCCTGTCATCTCCAGTGCCATTCTGGGAGCAACAGTAGCACCAACATTTGCTCAGTGAGGTAGGAGAATATTTCTAGAGGACAAAATTAGGGGCACTACTCATATCCCCCTTTCTTTGATAGACCCGTGTGGACTCAGGTCTCCTGCCCTGATATTTCAAACTGTCAGGAGCTATTTCAGGCTCTTGAATATATGAAGCACTGGGGGCTGAGACTGCTTTATGAAGTTTCCAATCCATAAAATGAAAACAGAATTATTTTCATTTTACTGTGCACTGTGTCCTAGAGCTGAAACAGATAGTACAACAACTTTCAGTTTTACTATTTTCCTCATCTGCTGCACTAAGACAGATATTTTCTGAGGACTGGGGGAGTTTCAACAGTATGAAAACAATAAAAAAAGAGGAGAGAGAAGCCTTTGGTTTTGAGCAAAGAGGGCTGGAAAACAGGACTACCCGTGCACAGGAAATTTTGTCATTTCAAAATGTGGTTTCAATCTGAATCACAACAAAACCCCAGAAGTTTCCAAATTCCCCTTGAAATGGAAATTCTGAGAGTTTGGGCCTGGAAATGCTGAAGCAGGGTGTTTCTGATACCTCCTCCTGCCCTAGACATGCTAAAAGAAAGTGACTTTCTCATCAGCTTGCGGCAGCACCACGACCTGCTTCCCTGAGGATGCGGAAGGCTTTCTGAGGACATCTACAGTGACAGGAGCATCTCCAAGGGTCACCAAGCTCTGAGCATTACTCTGGCAGCCCTCATCCCAGATGGACTTTTTGGGCACTGCACAACTGGTTTGCAACTCAAGTATGCAGCCAAGTGATTGAAGGACTGGTGTCAGGAAGGTGAGGGAAGATGTAGGCTTTTGGCAATTTCAGGTCTTGCAAATGTGTGAAACCATTTATGCAGAAGTGTTCATAGAGCTCTGTAGTGGTACTACTCTGCCCTGCAGCCATAGACTTCACCCTTGTCCCATATGGACATATCCATGGTTGGGGCAAAATTGTCGGAGCTTCTCCAGAATAATATTTAGCACGCATATAAATGTTGCAGCTTTAAAAATAAAATCTGTCTGGCAAATATCTTCCCTGAATTTCTTCTACATAAAAACCAAAGGAGAAAATAGGGAATTAGCGACCTGGAAATGACTGATGGAGCTGGTGTTGCTGGAGTCCTGAGTTCTTTGCTCATATGCTTTCATAGTCCCTAGACAAGCATATATTGGCTCTGCCAAACATTTATTCCTATAGAAGAAGTAAAAATGAATCTAGAAAGAGTGGGTAACTGAAATGTTAAGAATGTGACTGAGAGGCGGACCTGTACTATTCACTGCCTTCCTGCACTCAGATTACATCTTTTAAATTGTCTGAGATATGGACCATTTTTGGCTGCTGAACGGTACCTGTGCATAAGGTCCCCACCTCTTGTTTTTTCATTTGTCACTGCAACCAAAAGAATCGTGATTAAATTTAAACTTGAGAAATTATTTTGTCTTTGGGTGGTAGCAGATGCTTTCAGCAATGCCTTCAGGGAGGTGAATGACATATTCTGAAAGTCTTGGTGACTTCTGGGGCTGGGTCTCAGCTCACTGCTTGGGCATCTTTAAGTAGGCATCCACATGTGGGAGTAATTCTGCAGGATGAACTGAGTTGTGCTGCTTGGCTTCCAGCTGAACCTCTGATAGATCCTGTGCTGTGGCATCCATCCCTGTGTAGATGCCTCTGACAACACAGTGTATCAGATCCTGGCATATTTTTCTGTTTAGGCAACCAGATCAAACTGCAGGTGTTTCCATTGAGCTACTGTCTCAGCACCCCGTAGAGTCGATGAAGATCTTTTTGATGCTATCCGTGGGTTCTGGAAAATCGTTCAAACTGGTTGGACTTCTGCATTTAATAGCTGAATCTCTCTGGACTCCCACTGCGATGGGACAAACTCACACTGAGACACAGAATCATGGAATCATTATGGTTGGAAAAGACCATCTAGTAAAATCAGAATCTACATGAAGGCACATGCAATGGCAGTGTGCAAGATTACTTTTTGCTACAGACTTCAGGAAAACCAAGTTTTCTGACACCTGAGTATATATATGAAATAGGAGCATATGTATTTTCACTCCTGTGTGAGGGTTGGGGAGCTTTACTGCCTCTAGGCTGTACAAATCTACTCATTGTTCACATTATCTGTTTTGGAGTTACTGTTGTCAGAGATCCTCCTGTGCAGAACTTTTTAGTTTCCTGCTGCATTTTAAAGGTTAGGTGTAGCAGTGCACCCATGATGTGAGCTTTAGACAGACCTCTAGAATAAACCTTGTTTATATCATGTTCCTGATTTCTTCATACTTTTCATTCAAAGTAATACAGAGAGGCAAGACAAAACAAGAGAGCAACCATGGCCAAATAACCAGGAGATCTCGATGCTGCAGCCTCTGGCATAGTTAGGAATATCCTTCCTTCCCTTCCTTTATCACACTGCATTATTCCTCCTCCTCATTATGTCTGCTACGGCTGCCAGCAGAGTAATGGAAAACAAATCTTGGATTTTTCAAAGTTCAGCTCACACGGAATTGCAAAATCAGAGAATCATGGTGGTTGGTAGACAAATCAAGAAGGACCAGCTGCGTTCAAACATCCAGAATAATGTATTGTTATAGTTTATTGATCATTCCATGCCGAGAAAATCAAGTTTATCAAATAAAAGTATCAAACATCACACCTCATGTAAAATAAATGAGTGGCTACGGAGAAAGCAGGACAGTGATGGTTTGGCCACAGCCTCCTTCAGTGGTGGATGCACCCTATTGATTTCCACACCCTCTGTGTGTCGCATTGAAGGATCGAGCCTCCAATACAAGCATTTCCCCAGAGGGCCAACAAGCTCTACCAGGAGGTGAAGTACAGCTTGTCTGAGACTTATGGCTTTCTGATAAAGTACATATACAGCTTGCATGCTGGAGATCACCTGAGTTCTGACCCTATGTAGACATTAATAGCTAAGAAAATTGAATCCTATAATATTTCTCCGATATGTATTTCTTACAGGTACCATACCAGCAGTATGTCTCCCCTGATTGCCAAGAAACAAAGACAAAATATGGAAAGAGAGCCCATGAACCAACCTGGCTAGAGAAAGTAGAATAAGTCATCAGAGCAATGAGAGACATGACTCATTATCTGCGTAACTGGCTAAAAATGTACGTGCTAGAAGCAGGTAAAATATTAGCTTCTGCAGTAAACTGCCATGAGTGAGACAAGTCATGCCAACCTAATTGCAGTGCTTAATATGGTTATGTTAACAGTAACTGATGTGCATTAAACAAAGGAAGCAGAAGAGCTCAGTATCGCTGCTTGCACACTTCAGAGCAGCTGGCAGGTTTGAAAACATATCATCTGTTGCAAAAATACAGATTGCTGTTTGCTCCCATACAATATACCAGTGTGTAATAGACCGTCATGTATTTATAAAGATACATATTACAAATCAGTGCTTTTCCAACAGGAATAAAGCTATGAAAAGTATAAATATCAAAGCTATGGAGTGAGAAAAACTCAACAGGAATACAATTCCTTAAAGTAATGACATGCACTTTATTACAAAATAGAAAACTAAACTAACATGTCATGCCCACTGAATTAGAAGGGATTAATCCTGTTTGGTTCTTGACATAACATGTAAGCATCTACAGGTAATCTGGTCAATTTGGGCATCATTTAGAGTCAGTGAAGAGAAACAAGTGCCTTAAAACACTGAGGGATTTGGTCTACATATGGGCATATATGTGTATATCTATATGTACAGCTATGTACATATAGGTGCACAGTTGCATATACGTATGTGTATATATGTGGTATATGTATATGTAGATATATATGACATAAATAAGTAACTATAGGCATACATACACATATAGGTAATAGGGTGAGATAAACATGTTCCTCTGAGGGACTTGTTTCTTCCCATTGTTTGTCTCAGATTTGTTTGTATTTTCTCAGTTGAACTCTATCATACCAGGCAGAATGAAGAAGAGGCAGAGGTGTATTCAAACCTCATAAATTCCCAATAAAGTAAGTATATATCAAATATTGCACATGCTGAAGTCATGCTTTAATCTGTCCTCAGATGCCTTTGCACTAGGCTTTTTGATGCTCTGCAAGTATAAATGGAACTGCCAAATTAATCTTGTGCTTCCTCTGATGGAATGGAATGGGATGGAATGGGATGGAATGGAGTGGAATGGAATGGAATGGAATGGAATGGAATGGAAAGGAGTGGAATAGAATAGCATAGCATAACATAGCATAGCACAGCACAGCATGGCCTGGGTGAAATCAGGCTTCCAGCATCTTTGTAGAAAAAGTGGTGTGTGATCTGTAGGGACAGTACTAGCATCTAATGTGCTTGGGTGATCAGTCCATTTGTCCACTTGGTCACTTACATGAGATTGTAATGTCAGAATACTATAATTGCTATACTGTAGAAGTGTTTCTGGGGGGGCAGCTTCAGGCTCTTTCCTCATCTCAGTGATGGAGTGCATTCCCTCCATCTATCCTCTGCAGATGGAAAGTCACCCTGCTGTCCTAAGAATTAGGCTGTGATATTTTGTGCCACCTTCTCACACTGGATGTGAGTTTCCAGGCCTCCTGCTTATTTGGTCCTGCCGGTCTTGGAGTCACCGGTGCAATCTGGTTGTTCCATAGCATGGTGTTGGTTTCACTAGCTTAAATCTCAATGCCACAGTTCCCTGGGAAGTCATCACCATGGGTAGGAAAGACTTTACTACAGGGAAGAGTCAGGTTTTCTATGGTTTCTCCTGTATTTACTGGGAGAGGTGACAGAATTATAGAATCTTAGAGTCATAGAATCATGGAATCATTTGGGTTGGAAGGGACTCTTAAAAGTCATCTAGTCCAACTGCCCTGGAGCAAACAGGGACACCTATAGCTACATTGGGTCACTCAGATCCCCATCCAGACTGACCTTGAATGTCTCTAGAGATGGGAGATCTCTGGGCAACCTGAGCAATCAGTCTGTAATTTCTGCAAAAGACGCCACTTAGGACCTCAGTTACTGCTTCATCTGTATTGGTTATTTCAGCCCTTGTCCCACTACAGAGTCAGGGAGATTATTCTTGACAATTTTTCACATATCATAATCTCAGAAACCTCCTAACGACCCAAGCAATCTGCACCACAGTAGACCATCTTCACTAAAACAAGTTTCAGAGCATTTTCTACAGTTCCCATGGCTTTATCCTATCACATACTGGCTGAAAGCACTGCTAAACACGCTGCTGATGGCTTCACAAAGTTCTTTTCTGTGTCGTGGGCGGGGGGTAGTGAGATCTAGATGATCTTTGAGGTCCCTTCCAACCCAAGCCATTCTATGATTCTATGACTCTATTCTATAATTCCTCCCGCCCTGTAGAGAAAAATTCCCATTCAGCAGAGAGGCAGAGCCCACTGGTAATTAGTAAAGAACATAAGGAGAAACTGGAATGAGCATTTGCAGAGGAAGAAGAGAAAAGGAGAACTTCCAAGTGTGAAACAGGGACACTTTGGATTGCGTAGGCAGATGAGCCTCTGAACAGGAACAAGTTACATCTCAGTGTAGTAAGAGAAGCAGTGAGGAGGCCAGACTAAAATAAGTCTGCAGTACAAAGTTGTCATGGCACGTCTGAGAAATCAGGGGGACGAAGGACAAAGAATTACTTGGTGGTGATGGCAGATGCTCCATCAGACTTCCCACAGATCAGCCAGACAGAAAAAGACTGATTGCGCAATCTATCTGAAACCGACATATTTGCATAATTAACCTTAATTTCCTCACAGGATTCATTTTCCACCCGTTATTTGAACTGTCACTCTCAGTTCCACAATGGCTGAGACAAAGCGGTTTTATGCACACGTCTTGATTTCAGAAGCTCTGATTCCTCCTCTTCTTGTGCCAGTATTTAACAGCTGAACCAGACAACCCAAAATCCGGGGTCATTTATTTAATACCAGAGAAGGTATTCAGAAATCCAGGAGGTGCAATAATGAGGTGGTAGATCCGGCTGAGAGCTCTTCCAGGGATTTTTTTAGGTTTCACATTTTCCTGGTTCCTTCCCGTTTATCATCTCTGCTCGGTGACTCACAAAAAGACAGCAGAATGGAGAAGCAGAATGAAAAAAATGACTGTAAAAAATACAAAATCAGCACAAAATCAGCACCTGGAGTTATCTGCAATGCTCCACAGGGATTACTGCAGTTACCCCAACCGGGAGAAACAGAAGAGCAGCTTATCCTGTCCCTATGCCCAGAGACAATAACTCCCCCACATGGCCCCATTGCTTTGCTCCTGGGGACAAACAGGCCCAGCCAGAGGGGACCTGGGAGACAAGAGAGCAACCATGGCCAAATAACCAGGAGATCCTGGTGCTGCATCCTCTGGCATAGTTTGCAATATCCTTCCTTCCCTTCCTTTATCACACTACATTATTCCCCTTCATTATTATGTGCGCTACGGCTGCCAGCAGACTCCAGCTGGAATCAAGAGCCCTTGTACAAAGTCTTGAGCATATGCACAGTAAGAGCTGATTTCTATTTTAGCAGCTAATGATTGAATGGGAGATGGGGAAGGGGGAGGAGAAAATCATTTCAGACTGATCTAAATGCATCGGTTTTAGCTGTGAGCAAATATTTTATTTTCCCATCCTCTTTCAGCCCTTTGGAAATGTGTAAGAAACACATCATTTAAATATTTACATTTTCCTCCCTTTCTTCAGTGGAAGATATGCACTGAATTCACATAAAGTTTCAGAGGAAGAATTTGAAAATTACTTCATTTAAAAAACAGATTTTTGGGTGATTATTTTCCTTTACACCCCTTATATGCCTTTGGAAACCACTTCATAAAAAGCAGAAGTGCTTAAACAGTCTGTACGCTTTCTTTACTGACTTTTCATCTGATCTGTGGGCATAGATATGTCTTGCAGTACACTTATTGGCTCTTAGAACAGAGATGGATCTCTTCGATAAAACAGCAGATTCAAAGGCAAAGTAATTCTCTACAGGATGAGGTGAAGTCTGAGCCCAGTTAACAAAATGACATACTTGTCACTGGCCATATCAGTGATGAGGAAAAGGATGGATGAGCTAAACATACAAAGAGAGAGAAAAATCTTGATTTTGTATTGATTTGCTCTTCTGGTGAGGAGAGAGCTCATCCCAGCATCGCGGTAGTAATGAGGGCAAAGTCAGGTTAGGTGTGAAGGTCTGCCACTGCACAGCACACAGAGTTATTGCCATGTTTGTTTCCTGGCCATCGATAGATGTTGCCAGCCTGGATAGCAACATATCTGCTGATTTGGTATCTGCCAAAGGTGGGCATGAGCTGGCTTCCAGGGAATAGGATCCGGCTAAGATCTTTATTTCACACGAAACTGGGAAGGATGACTGTCAAAGTGCCAAACAAGAATTTGGAAATGTGGCTTCAGATGGGTCCTCTTTTTCCCCAGAAATGGAAACAAAAACCTTCCCAGTGATAGAAACCCACTGAATTTCTCCCTTATCCTGCAAAAAGGAAGCTCTGAACTCTCATACATCAGTATGAGGTATTAGAAGGCTTTTTACCTTCTAATAAGGGAGGTATTGTAAGAGTGGATAAATGTTTTTGTGTTCTCTGCTAAGGAGAAAACAGAGAAAGGAGAGACTACACCCTATATAGCACCACTAAAGCCCACTACATAGAAACAAGGGAAAAAAAAAAAAATAAAGCCAAAGAATCATTAAGTTTGAAAAAGACCACTAAGGTCATCAAGTCCAGCCATCCACCCATCCCCACCATGCCACTAAACCATATCCCTCAATGCCATATCTACCCTTTTGTTGAACACCTCCAGCAGTGGTGACTTCACCACATCCTTGGGCAGCCTGTTCATTTTCAGTGCACTAACAAAAAAACCTGATCTTATTCAGGCTCTCATGAACTTTTGCAGAAAAATGAAATTATTGTTCTATTGAATTAAAGAATTTAAAGGCACAGATGGCCCATGTCATCATCCAGACATTTGGTTTTTGTAATCCTAATTTTAAAGCTTCAAATATTTATAATCTCTGACTTTTCAAGAGGTTGTATCCTCTTCTAGGACTGGCGTGTTGATGGATTATTTCCACTGTAGCAAGAAGTTCCTTCATCCTGATAGCATTAAGGGTAATTATGAATGGAAGAAAATGACCTGAAAGAGGAGTAAAGACCGAAAAACAGTTTGTGATTGCCATATTTGAAACACTGTTAACTACATACCACAGGGAAACATCCAGATCTATAAAAAAGGGATGACATTCTTTGTACAATGCTGAACCAGTGTGCCCAGTGAGTAAGATGATTTGTTCCTACAGTCAGAGCAGAGGCAGAGGTCATTTTCTGCAGGCAAAGGACCCTGCCCAAATGTCCCTGCTCCACTACGTGGCCATGTCTCTCACCTGTCATTATGTAGATGTGGCTTTTGAGGTAGTCATCTGGGCTCTGTTATAGTCACTGGGAAGAAGTAAGTCTTTCTGTTGTACAATTCATCTAAAACTATTCATCGTGAGAAATGCTGATACAATTTTGGAGTTTGAATTGAGGCTACAATGGCCTCATCTGTCAGTAGCAAGGAGAAAAGAGAAAAGCTTGTTCTACTATTTTCATCCTGATTTGTGACAGAGCGGCTCTATCTGCTCCCAAGTTCTTCTTCCTTTTTAGTATGAAATCTCCCAAGACCAAGTGGGATGTAACTATGCCCTTCCCATGAGCATCACTGCCACCACTGTCAGAGTCCTGTGGTCACTGATCTCTCCATCCTGAACCCCAAGCAAAATAAAAAAACCCAAGGGTTTTTTCTTAGGTTGTTCCTGTGTTGGCAGGGTGCAGACCCTCTGTGAACAGGTCATGACATTGTTGTGATGCCAAAGAAAAATCTTACCTGCCTCAATAAGATGTGACAGCTGCTTGTTCATAGGGCTGCTGCCATTGGTACAGGGCTTATCAAGGGGCATCCACTTGATTCTTCCAGTCACATTCATGCACGTGATGGTGCCAGTGTTAGGAAGCTGCTCATTGTACTCAGTTGGGCATGTGAAGTGTATTACTTGCCCCACAGAATATTGTTGTTTTACGCTTAGAGAGGCATGTAGGACAGTTTTGGGCATACCACAAAAACCTGGGAATTCAAAAAGCAGCACATTGTTAGGCAAGTAGACTTGACTTACTGCTTTTGTTTTTCATAGAATCATTAAGGCTGGAAAAGACCTCTAAGCTCTCATCCAGCCCAGCCATCAACCCATGCCCACCATGCCCACTGACCCATGTCCCTCAGTGCCACATCTACCCTTTTCTTAGCACTTCCTGGGATGGTGACTACACCACCTCCCTGGGCAGCCTGTGCCAGTGCCTCTCCACTCTTTCTGAGGATAAATTTTTCCTAACATCCAATGAACCTCCCCTGGTGCAACTTAAGGCCATTACCTCTCATCCTATCACTGTTACCTGGGAAGAAACAACGTGATTTGTATTCATATAAAATGCAGGCAAGTAAGATATACCAGACTTTCCTACCTCTTGAACATCTAAAGAAATCATTTACTTGCACATTTTCACTTGCTCTGACAGACAGGTATTATAGCAAATTTATTCTCCCTGACTACCAAAATAATTAAAAATTACTCATTATCACTCCTATGTTGCTTCCATGGAAATGAATGGGAGAAGTGTTACAGTGCTGATTAGACTCTAACTTACTTGAATTGTTTACTTTCTTCAGAGGTGCTGGGCTCTGGGTTTCTCTTGCTGGCTCTTGTGTAGAATTTAACTTAGCTGTGTGATTCTTTGAGAACAAAAATTTCTCATCTGTGAGAAGAAGATACATTTACTGCATGACAGCAGGACAAAGAGCAGAGCTAAGCCTGAGCAATCAAGCTTTTACAGACAGAACAGACCTGCTAGGAGTTTTGATTTGCAAAGACAAGCACAAAAGATCATTTGTTACATCAGTGCCCTGTTACATCTTGCATACTTATTCTTTGGGAAAACACCACAAGTGCCCAAAAAGTTGGCAATCGCTTACCAATACACACAAGTTCATCGTGGACCCAAGCAGCAGTCCCTGATACATTCAAGCACCGAATTGTCAAGGAGTTCCCACTTCTTCTCCTGTAGCCGTTGTCACACTCATAACGCAGTTTGGTCTTCAGTGGATAAGTTTCAGCAGCCACGTCAGCAAATTCAGTAGTTGAAAGAGGTGGGCATTTTTCTGCAATCAGAAAGTCTATGATTTAGAGCAGCCTGTGCACCTGCCTTACTCACCAAAGGCTTCCAGTGTCTTTCTGAATTATCAGTGCCAGACTGTGCTCAGTTAAGGCCTAATTCTGCTCCCTATAAGAGGTTTGATGTTATAGATAGAAAAGGTTTTGGAGATACTCACCTAAGCTGGCTAAGGGAAATTAAATTCAGCTTGGTAAGAACATCATCTGGGTGAAACACAATGCAGGTTGTCAGCCAGAGTGAGCTCTGCATTACTGCATTTATGTCTGGGATCCTATGGGGCTGTGGCATTGAAGTTAGATGGGCAAAGGCTCCCCTGCACCAATTTTCTTAGAAAGAGCTCTCCACGTACAGAGCTCCTGGAGCTGCTTCTTGTGACAGGACAGCACTCCTGTAGAAGAAACAGACATCATGGGAGGTTTGAAAATCACCCAGGTGCAACCTGAGTGCATGACCATGAGGTGATGGCACCATGTGATGCGAACATCCAGGTCTGTCTGCAGCTCTGGCTGGTTGGTCTGGAAGTAAACCCAGAGTCAGCTGAGTCAGAGTGCAAATCCAGGTTCCTGCTCCTCCTCTTCCTCCTAACTGGAGGACTGGTCCACTGTTGGAGGGCTAAGGGATGAAACTGGATGGCATGAAAAGAATGGGAGAAGCTTTGCTTCTTTGATTGATTGTCTCCAGGTCAAGAAGAGGCTCTGGTTTTCTGATTAACTTATTAGTTATTTTACATGATTTAAAATATTATTTATATTGTTTTTTAATTATTGTTTTTATTAACTATTCACATTGGAATTAGCTGTTACCATTGATTTTACAAGAACAGATTTGTGCAAAGTGCAGAAAAAATCCAACTTTGGGAATCTCAGCTATGTAACATGAAACTTGCATTTATCTACACTTAATAAAAATTATTAAAAGTTTCAGTCATCTGCAAAAGCGGAGTAGACTCAGTTCTGTCTGGGCACACCAACAAGCAACTTACTGGGAAATTAGTTTTCAAACCTATATATAACTTGTCCCCAAACAAGGATGTTAAGTGCTGTGTCATCAGCAAATTGCAACTAAATATACTTCTCAATCAGTTGGAATGAATTGAGATCATTTTCAGTGCACTTGAAAGTTGAGCTGCAGACCCAGAATATAATAAAGGCACTACTTAATGATTTTTTTAAGGTCTAAAGGCTGAGAAATCTGAAAATAAAACATACTGGCTGCATCGGGGCAAGCACTCGGTATATTTGGGTTCATGATCTGTGGCCCCTTAAGCTTATGCATAATAGTAACAGCTATTATGAAAAAAATGTTTAATCACTGTCTTCACATTTTCTACAGCCATAATTAATGCAGCCTTGGAACTAGCAAGAAAGACTGTGAAAGGGTCTTGAATTCCTGATAGCTGTTCATTTGGCATCTGCCCTTGACTCCCTAAAATGACTTCTGCTTGAAACAAAGCCATGCCTACAGCAAACCAGCCAGCAATCCCCAGCCCAGTCCTGTAAAGCTCTGTTAGAGCCACTCATCATTTTCTCACTTTGATACTTTCTGCCCTTTTTGCTTTTCGTTATTCTGCCACTTGGTAAAAGTCACCACGTTCAAAGAAGGCCACAATGAAGAGCATTGTGAGTGGCTTAACAGCCACACAAGGACTATTTTCATGTCCCTGTGTCTTTGTGTTATCAAAGAACTCACCTCACAAACTACATCAGACTGTGGCTTCAAGTGAAGCACACAGCACTCGAAATAGTTAACCACATGGTTTACCACAGACTGTCAGGGTGATTAAAATTAAAGGGTTATCAGATGAGCAGCAAGTTGAGAGCACGTACTCTCACTTTCCCTATAAGCTAAAAGCATGTTTCCCTCAAGACTTCAAACACCTCTTTGAAGCAGACTGCAGATCTGAATCTCAGCACAAGGTACCCAAACCTACAACTCTTTAGTCTCTTCATAAGAAAAGCCACAGCATCTAGCCTATTCATCATGAAGGGCAACTGTTGTTTCAGTCAATGATCAAATGAATTTAGGCTTCTTCTGAAGTTGCAGGCATCAGATGAGGGTTGCATATAAATGTGCACAGGGGTGGCAGCGAGCAATACCTGATTTCCAGTTGAGCTGTGCTCTTGGATCAAAAGGTACAAGATTCATCTGGATCTCATGCAACACTCCTATTATCTAGACTTTTCATTTCATCCACATCACTCACATTCTCACCTTTTCTCATCTAAACCACAGACGTATCTTCTTTGGCTTTTACAACCACATTCCTGCTTCTAATCCAGAAAGAATTTAGAAAGATGACTCTCCTAGGCCTTACCTTGGCCATTCTGGGCTTCTCTTTGCTTCTCTCTGTTGGCTTCCACTTCTTTACTGTCACATTGCATATTTTGAATCATGGAATCCTAGGACCATCAAGGTTGGAAAAGACCTCCAAGATCATCCAGTCCAACCATTCACTTACTACCAATATAAACCCACTAAACCATGTCCTTTTGTACCACATCTAAACATTTCTTCTGCTCTCATTTTTGAGAACCTTCTCCTTACCAACAATCATATCCTTTCAAAACCATTGGTCTTGTCATGTTTGACCTCCTCTCCCTTTGTTTGATACAGAATTGATTAGCTTTCGGGCTTACTGTTATACCAGTCCTCACACTGGGAGGAACCTTGCATGAATTTTGGACACTGTGTTGAGGGACGTGGTTTAGTGAGAACTATTGATGATAGGTGGATGGTTGGACTGGATGATCTCGTAGGTCTTTTCCAACCTTGGTGTTTTTGTGATTCTGTATTCTGTGAATATGGATGTGCCAAGACACCAACTGCCAATATTCCTCTTCATTGTCTCTAGGTGTCCTATCTGTGTTCAAGGGTGTTTTTCTTTAAGTGGGCTTTTACCTGCCTTTCAAGAACAAATAGATTCCTGACACGCTGATCTATAGTACTTCTGTACTTCTAATGTCTTATATTTGGATGCTAAATTTTCTGTATCTGACAGTTAGTGGCACCATGCCTAACCCAAACAAGCCCTACCTATCATCCCACACTCCAGAAATTGTGGCAGTAGATAGTAATTCATGTGAATATAAATTACATAGTGATAGTATGTAGATAGATCATGACAATGCACCCAATGAAGTCCATCTAAGATTGGAAACTATAATTTGGCCACCAAACCCAAAAGAACTCCCAGTGCTTTGACATTTAGAAGCTTCACAAGCTCAAACTAATTTACATCTTTAGACTCCCTTCAAGGTACAGTAAGTATCCTCCAAAGCTGCAGGGGCTGTATGTGGTTGCATATAGGCATGCAAGAATGTTTCATGGCATTAGACATCATGGGATAGCGTAGAAAAACTGTGCCAAGAAGGAGTCAGGAAGAGATCTGGATTGTATTGCCTACCATCTCTACCATCACTCCAGAACCTCAGTCACTCTTTGTGCCCAAGGAAACTGGATAGTTTGACCCTAAAAGACTCAAAATCCCTGCAGTGTGGGTGATAGAAGAGTCAGTAGATGGGAAAAAACTAGGGAACTAGGGAATAGCAGTGCAGATCTACTCTGTGACTAGATTTCTGACTTCTATGTTTTTAAAAAGGAAGGTTAATTTTAATTTTCTGCTGTTTTTCACCTAGGAGGCAATTAATGTTAGTTTGTTTGTGTCCTTGTGATAAGAAAATATAGATCTGATAAAAGACCAGCACACTCAGGAGACATCTACCTCATAGCCTCTGGTGGCCCAGTTTTCCACAGCCCAGCTTCTCTTCCTCTGACTTCTGCATAATTCTACAGCAGCTCTGGGGCTAGATTTGTGCCAATAATTAGTTTAAAAACCACTAAGATCCCATGACACTTCTAACAGTGGTCTTTCAGTGTCCTCACATCACCTTCAAATCTCCTCTTAGGATTTTGCCTCCTGACTTTCCTTCAGCACACCCTTCATATCTCCATCCTCAAAGTTGCTTTTTACCCTCATTGCCTTCTACTTCAAATCTCATAACCACTTTCCTCTCTTTCTTTCCCTTGCTTTATCACCCCTCACCATTTTCATCTCCTCCCCACCAAAACTGCCATAAGATTTTAAGTTAACATTTTGAGGTACTAACTATTTAACTATTCTATTCCTCATTTCTCCCCATATCAACAGAGTAAGGGTAGATGTGCCACTGGGAGGCATGGTTTAGTGGACATGGTGGTGATGGGTTGATGTTTGGACTAGATGATCTTACTGGTCTCTACCAACCAATTAATGATTCTATGATTCTATGATTTTTGGAATGCCTACAGCATTCCTGGAAATTTTGGAACTGTTTTTCAATATTATCATATAGTGTATGGAGACTTATAATCCAGATGTTCAAGACCTGCAAAATGTAAAATGTAAAACAGAGTATCTTTTGGTGTGCTCCCCAAAATTAAGGTTAAGCCTTCCAGGCCACTGCTTGTCATCTCTGCCATAAGATAGGTGGGTTCCTGCTATTCCAACTTAAGGAAAGATTCCCCAGTGCCATTTCAGATGTCTTAAGGCATCTGAGACACCCATGTAAGCTCTCAGATATGTTCCAGGTGCTATGAGAGGCCAGTGCTAGGCAGAATTCCTTGAAGTGCCTGTGTTTTGGCCTACAAACCATGCCAAATCTTTTGTAAGTTTATTGTCCTATGCTAAATGAAGCTTAACTGTCTTCCGTAACTGATGCATACCTAACAATTAAATCACTGTAATTCAGTAATTAAGCAAGGAACACAGGCATCAGGGTGAGACTGGGTCCTTAACCAGAAATTAGGCAAGATAAACCTTACTCTATCCTGCAGGATTGAAGAGCTTTTTAATAACACACAAAATAGCCACAGAGATCCCATGGCACTAGTGATGGAAGTCTTTATTTCAGTGCTCTGACCAGTTGAGAAATTCCATAAATTACTTGCTGTGGATCTATTTTTCCCAGCCTCATCTCCTTGACTTTCTCTCTACTTTCTATCCCTACA